TGGCTCTCCGGCAAGTCCTCCTTCTTTATCCCCAGGTAAGCGAAATGGCTCTCCGGCAGGTCCTCCTTCTTTGTCCTCAGGATAAGCGAACTGGCTCTCCGGCAGTTCCTCCTTCTTTGTCCCCAGGATAAGCGAACTGGCTTTCCGGCAGGTCCTCCTTCTTTGTTCCTAGGATAAGCGGAATGGCTCTCCGGCAGGTCCTCCTTCTTTGTCCCCAGGATAACTTTTCCTTCTTTGTTCCCAGGCCAAGCAAACTGGCTCTCCAACAACTCGTCCTTCTTTGTTCCCAGCATAAGCAAAATGGCTCTCCAGGAAGTCGTCCTTCTTTTTCTGCGGGATACGCAACCTTGCCCTCTAGGAAGTCCTCCGTCTTTGTCCCTAAAATATGCACGTTGGCTCTCCAGGAAGTCCTCCTCCGTCCCCAAGTTCAGGAAGTTCTCCCTTGTCCCCAGGATAAGCGCACTTGTGGAGGCAGGTCCTCCTTCTTTGTCCTGGCGGGCGTCGTCGGTGTGCTCCGGACTTCTGTCTTTCTCGCGTGGCGACATGGCAGCTACGAACTGAACGATGCCAAGATGCTTCGTTTCGGGGTTGTGGTGCCTGTACGGGACTTAGCTCGAGCCGTCGCCACTCGAAGACATGTTTGCAAATCATGATTAAATTGCACTTCCTACAAAGCCCTTGGCAGGTGTGCTACTTTTTCCGCGGTCGTCGCCGTACTGGTCTGTTAGCCGAGCTCTGCCGTGTTTTTCTATGCTCGCCACGATCCGATGCCGTCCCAGACGTGCTCCAAGCGCTTCGCATACGAGTAGACCGGGAGCGGAGCATCGCTGTGAAAGTCCTCGCCGCACATGGCGTGCTGCAACGCGTAGAAGTTGAACTGCATGCACTGCTTGCCGCCCCGTTCGTACAGGGTGCTGCCAGCATTGCGTTGCGCTGGGAAGGCCTCGGCCGCGGGCATTGCTGCGGATTCCCAGAGCTCGCGGAAGGACGGGTAGTGAAACCACGCCAGGTGCTCAGAGCGCCATCCCATATCTTTCATCACCCAGGAAAAAGTCGGCTGCCCTGGGTTCTCCACTTCCGCGCTGCTCATGCTGCGAAGCCAATCTCGAAGAGCCTTCTCGGATGGACAAGGGTGTCGCTGCATGAACTTTTGGAGGACTTTCTCTTCCTTCAGCACTTCGCGTCGTACTTGTGGACTGCTTCCAACCCAGGGGTCGGCTACCGCGAACGGCCCGGTCGTGACTGGCCGTCGCGGAGACTGCGGCGGCATGGGATTCCTGAAAGCCTCCTCGTCGCTGCTGGTTTGGAGCCGCTCCCACCTGGAGTAGTCGATGGCCGACATGAGTGCTGGCGGGATGCGTGTGGGGCTTTATGGTTTCTGGCGTATAGAGCCTACTTGCAACGTGGCTGCGGCACCGTGGACAGCCCGTCTCCAAGCAACAAGCACTTCACGCAGATGCCCTGTACTACAGTTATTAGAGTTACTAGAGTGGCGTTGTACTCTTGTGCCACATTTGTGCTCTGGCCTCTTCAGTGCCACGACTCGGTGAAACTTACATTCACAGGCGGGCCACGGGCATAAAAGCTGGGCCCATGCCGCGGTTGTGCCGAATCAGGACCGTGTTGGTTCGCTGGGCGACCAAAACAGGAAGCACGCGCTGCTCCTGCATAACTGAGTGTGTCTTTCCACACGTCCACAGTAACCGCACCGCTGACAGAAACAGATTTCCCAGATCTCGCTGTGTTGCCGAGCGGCTTTCGTCACCCTGAATTCTCGCACTTGGCAGAAACACCGGCCGGCTCGCTCGTGGCCATACTTCCACGCCCAAATTGCCTGAGCTTGCTGGCAGGTTGTGTTGTCAAGAAATCGGCGAGCGAACACAGGCACAGCTGGCGGCAGACGGATGCAGTCCGATCACCTTGAGGCTCTCGAACGTGGCATCCGGTCTAAGCCAAAGCGATTCCGGTGGTCCGAACTCGCTGTAGACGATCACCCAAAAAATATCTGAGCTCCTTGGTGCTCCATTGCTGGAGCGGCGTCGTACTGTTGCATATTATGCTATATATACTGTATGTGCAGAAAGTGCAGCTGAGCAACGGGGACGGCATTTCCGGCGCGACCGCGGCTGAGAGATGGGTGCCAACAAGCTAGCTTGAGACTTCAATGATGGCTGCGAACCCGACGTTTGGAATGCCTGCATGCACTGCAGTCTCGGGTCAACGCAGACTTGTGTTCTGTGGCCAGGTGGCACCCAGAGCAAACTAGCCCGTCGCGATGTCCTGTTGTGATCTAGCCCTCCGCGTAATCCTTCTTCTTTCTCCCCTGGAGAAGTGTCCTCGCCCGGTGGGAAGTCGTCGTTCGATGCCGCGACGATGACAGTGTTGTGTTCAATTTGACACGAATGGGTATGGTATGCTCAAGAATCATAACAAAGCCCCGCAAAATCTGCTCAAGACTAAGTCACCCCAAACTTGTATTCTGCGGCCAGATGGCGCCCAGCGCAAACTAGCCCGTCGCGAATTCCTGTTGTGATCATAGTCCTCCTTCCTTCTCCCCTGCATAAGTGTTCTCGCCCTGTGGGAAGTCGTTGCTCGTTGCCGCGACAACGGCAGCGTTGTGCCCAATTTGCGAGAAATGCTTCGTCTTTGCCGGTTGGGTGTACTAATAAGACAAAACAAAGCAAAATCTGCTCAAGACTAGGTTACCCCAAGACTGCATCACCCCAAGACTGGATCACTTCAAGAGCTGGGTCACCTCAGGACTGGGTGTGCCAGACCTGAGTCACGCCAGCATTGAGTCACTCCAGACGTGAGTCACTGCAGTCTCGGGTCACCCCAGACTTGTGTTCTGCGGCCAGGTGGCACCCACAGCAAACTAGCCTGTCGTGAAGTCCTGTTGTGATCTAGCCCTCCGTGTAGTCCTCCTTCTTTCTCTCCTGGATAAGCGTTCTCGCCCTGCGGAAAGTCGTCGTTCTTTGCCGCGACGATGGCAGCGTAGTATCCAATTCGCAACAAATGTTTCGTCTTTGCCGGTTGGGTGTACTAATAAATCTAATTCTCACAACGAAACAAAGCAAAATCTGCTCAAGACTAGCAAGACTGCGTCACCCCGTGACTGCAAGACATAGGGCGCCCCAGACTTGCGTTCTGCGGCCAGGTGGCTTCCAGAAGCAAGCAAACTAGCCCGTCGGGAAGTCCTGTTTTGATCCGGCCCTCCACGTCGTCCTCCTTCTTTCTCCCCTAGATAAGCGTTCTCGCCCTGCGGGAAGTCGTCGTTCTTTGCCGCGACGATGACAGCGTTGTGTGCAAGTCAAAACTCAAAACGACTGGTTCGTCTTTGCCCGTTGGGTGTATTAACAAGCAAATTCTCACAACAAAACTAGGCAAAATCTGCTCAAGACTAGTTCAGCCCAAGACTGCATCGCCCCAAGACTGGATCACCTCAAGAGCTGGGTCACCTCAGGACTGGGTGCGCCAGACCTGAGTCACCCCAGCGTTGAGTCACTCCAGACGTGAGTCACTGCAGTCTCGGGTCACCGCAGACTTGTGTTCTGCGGCCAGGTGGCGCCCAGAGCAAACTACCCCGTCGTGAAGTCCTGTTGTGAGCTAGCCCTCCGCATAGTCCTCCTTCCTTCTCTCCTGGATAAGCGTTCTCGCCCTGTGGGAAGTCGTCGTTCGTTGCCGCGACGATGGCAGCGTTGTGCCCAATTCGCGAGAAATGTTTCGTCTTAATTTGCCGGTTGGGTGTACTAATAAACAAAACAAAGCAAAACCTGCTCAAGACTAGTTCAACCCAAGACTGCATCACACCAAGACTGGATCACTTCAAGAGCTGGGTCACCTCAGGACTGGGTGTGCCAGACCTGAGTCACCCCAGCATTGAGTCACTCCAGACGTGAGTCACTGCAGTCTCGGGTCAGCCCAAACTTGTGTTCTGCGGCCAGGTGGCACCCAGAGCAAACTAGCCCGTCGCGAAGTCCTGTTGTGATCCAGACCCTCCTTCTTTCTCCCCTGGATAAGCGTTCTCGCCCTGTGGGAAGTCGTCGTTCTTTGCCGCGACGATGACAGCGTCGTGTCCAAATCAAAACAAATGGTTCGTTTTTGCCCGTTGGGTCTACTAATACTCACAACAAACAAAGCAAAATCTGCTCAAGACTAGGTCACCCCAAGACTGCATCACCCCAAGACTGGATCACCTCAAGAGCTGGGTCACCTCAGGACTGGGTGTGCCAGACCTGTGTCACCCCAGCATTGAGTCACTCCAGACGTGAGCCACTGCAGTCTCGAGTCACCCCAGACTTGCGTTATGCGACCAGGCAGCTTCCAGAAGCAAACTAGCCCATCGCGAAGTCCTGTTGTGATCTAGACCTCCGCATAGTCCTCCTTCTTTCTGCCCTGGATAAGCGTTCTCGCCCTCCGGGAAGTCGTCGTTCTTTGCCGCGACGATGACAGCGTCGTGTCCAAGTCGAACAAATGGTTCGTCTTTGTCCGCTGGGTCTACTAATACTCACAACAAACAAAGCAAAATCTGCTCAAGACTAGGTCACCCCAAGATTGCATCACCCCAAGACTGGATCACCTCAAGAGCTGGGTCACCTCAGGACTGGGTGTGCCAGACCTGTGTCACCCCAGCATTGAGTCACTCCGGACGTGAGCCACTGCAGTCTCGAGTCACCCCAGACTTGCGTTATGCGACCTGGCGGCTTCCAGAAGCAAACTAGCCCATCGCGAAGTCCTGTTGTGATCTAGACCTCCGCATAGTCCTCCTTCTTTCTCCCCTGGATAAGCGTTCTCGCCCTCCGGGAAGTCGTCGTTCTTTGCCGCAACGATGAAATTGTTGTATCCGAGCAAGGATTTCATAAGTTCTGGTTGGGCATACTGGGAACACAAAACTTAAAAGCTGTTGAAGACTTGGTCACCCCAAGACTGCGTCGCTGCAAGCAAACTAGCCCGTCACGAAGTCCTGCTGCGATCTAGCCCTTCGCATAGTCCTCCTTCTTCTTCCCCAGGATAAGCGTTCTCGTCTTACCGAGCAAGTGATTCATACGTTCTGGTTGGGCATACTAAGAACACAAAAGTCGAAAACTGTTGAAGACTATATAGGTCACCCCAAGACTGCATCGCTGCAAGCAAACTCGAAGTCCTGCTGTGATCTAGCGCTCCGCATAGTCCTCCTTCTTTCTCCCCAGGGTAAGCGTTCTCGCCCTGCGGAAAGTCGTCGTTATTTGCCGCTACGATGAATGTCTTGTACCTGGGCAAATGCTTCATCAAGTTTAGTTGGGTATAATAAGAACGCAGCAGGACCAAAGCCGTGAAAGACTATCTAGGTTTCACCCCAAGATTGGATCACTTCAAGACATCGGGGCAGTTCATTTCTGGAGAAGCTGTCACAGTCCCGGGTTCCTATTCCTGGCAGAACAGAAAACAAACTCAGCTTGGTGGGCTTCTTTAATTTAAGTGCAAAGCGGAGTCTTCGGTCTTTTTGCTCGTCTTCGCACCGTTAGTCCATTGCGTTCAAGTCAAGTGCCATCGTGGTGTCAGCGCAACACTCACAGACGTGCAGGACGAGTTCCTGCCGGCAGGAGATGCAGAGTTACGTGTCTGCATTACGCAGGCATTAAGTCGGCATGGTCCTCATTGCGCATGTAACGCTGCACAAGCGTCTCGATGCAATAGTCCTGCCTTCGTCCACACGAAAACTGATACATTGCTCTTCACAGAGATGCTCCGAGGCTGGTGCTGCTGGTTCGACAGGGCATCCCAAAAAGATGCGGGAAAATTGAACTGCAACTTGATTGCACCATGGTTGATGTCAGCCGGGATCTCAACGACCTGCCGGACAGAAGTGGCTACAGTAATGCTTGGTTTTGTTTGTATGCGTGGCCTTGGCATGCTCCAGCTCCGGAGGCACAAAGGAGATGATCTTGACGTGCGTCAAGATCTTATTCCGAGATTTGGGGCTGCCCGGCATGCTGTCACTACAGTGCTCGAAGATCTCACGGCTACGGATACCAATTTGCTTGGTTCTGCCTTAGCTTCAATCTCAAACACTAACTAAAGTTTGGGTTGCTCCTCTGCTACTCAACAGGGCACTGAACACTCCGAAAATACAATGGAACCTCCGAGCTTGCAGGCCGCTGAAAAAAACAAAGTAACAAAAGCGAACTTGCCCTCCGAGAATTCCTCCTTCTTTGTCCCCAGGATAAGCGAACGAGCCCTCCAGCAGGTCCTCCTTCTTTGTCCCCAGGATAAGCAAAC